GATCAGCGAGGTGGTGAAACCTGTCGGCTTCACACTCACACTGCCACACTGCCACACACACACCTACACACACACACACACACACACAACACACACACACCTACACACACACACCAATGTATCCAGGGCTTCTCCGCGGGGCCAAGCCGTTGGAGATTAAAACAAAGCGCCACTGAACCTGGACGATGGTCCAGCTGCAGGATGTGCAGCAGCAGGACGAGCGGTCGGTCCCTGCCGACGGTCCGGTGGATGAAGTGAGGGTCAGCTGCCACGAGGCACAGGACGGTACGAGCGTTGAAGAGGGGCCGGTGAGCCCGCAAGAATTCTGGGGTCTCCAGCGGAGCTTACGTGGAAGCTGAGGTTAGAGCTGCCGTGGCTCGGCCGTGAACAAGAGACCACCCGACACAAAGATGGACTGGGGGAGTCGCATCCTCACTCAAACTCCGCCATCTCGGGGTCCGGGCACGTCCATACCGTTTCCACCGAGCTGGGTCGGTCCGGAACAAGGCCCCTTGCTGGAGGAGGGGAGGACACCGCGTGGCTTTCACCCTCATCACCGCCGTGCCGCCGCCCGCTTCAGCTGTCTGAGATCTGGGAGGCAGGGCAGGGATGTTTTTCACAAGCCGGGTGGGGCCCGGGAGAGACTGCGGGGCGCCAAAGAAGGCGCTGCGGGCCCTCCAGAAAACGCCCTGGCAGCCGACGGTTGTGGGTTCTTCTTTGACCCGGAGGGTATCTACAAGTTAACTAAAATTCTAAAAAACACAAAACTAAGTGTGGTAAAAAACAATTGTAACTTGAAATTAAAAAGGAGTAAGATTAAAAAACTAATACATAAATAAATAAAATAAATAAAATATTAATAATGTCTTTCAAGTTTATCAGTCTTTGTCAATTTGGTCAAATGTGTCAACACAACAAGCAAGAGGAAGTGGTGCATCTGTTTATTGAGACTGCGATGTCTACATAGCTGTGAATCAATGTGTCTGTATTGCAATAGCTACAAATACAACCCGAAACTGAAACTAATGGAAACAGTTTTAAGCAAAAGAAACTAAACTTAAATGAGTAAATCCACTCTGGGAACTGAACTAGCTGAGTTGAATACAAATTAAACGAAATAAAAATAAAAACTGATGAAAAACACGAAGCTATAATAACTCTGGTTTACACAGATAAATGTAAATTTAATTTGGGACATTTTATTTTTTCTATTGAGTTTTTAGGATACATCAGAAAGCAAACCCTCATCACATTTTATCACGAATAATAAAATAGAAGAGCAAAGATGGAGGTGGATAATAAAACCATTCAATTGCTGACTGTTATTTCTTTTTTCTATTATTATTATTTATTACTGAACATCGTCTGGTGAGCTTATCATTAATAACAAATCTGTGCAAATAATAAATGCAAATAATTTGTCTCAAGAATTATTTATAGTATTTAAGTATCTATAGTTTTTTTTAAATCTAATAATGTTTTATTTAATAAGGTGTGTTTGTTTTATCACCATATTCACTCTACATGTTGCTTGTTCCTGTGAAGACAAACTTCAGCTCTGGTGTAAAAGTTGTATTCTCTGTTCTACTGTAAACTATACTTCAATCTTTCATTATTTATAAAAAATAAAGTAACAAATGTCTTGGTTCTGTTACTGCTGTTCTGTAACACATTTAATAAGGGAACTTTTCCCCTCTTTCTTTTGTCCTTTTGTCTCTTTTCTGAGACCCATGAATTCTGAGGGATACACTGTATATGTCTTTAAGATAACTGTTTCACACGTCCCTGAACTGTATGTGACTTCTTTCTCTGCTATGTCAAATTGAAAATGAACCAAAATAGAGTGACGTAGTGATGGATGATCAGTTATTCTGCAGCCTCCCAGAGGTGATGGTCATCATCATCAATTATCTGGAAGTGTTGTCAGAGGTTCATTTGTCACTATGTGTGGAGTCAGCTGAGGGTGTTTCATTTTCAGAAAACAAACTTTTTTCATCAGGACACTTTATTAATAACAATAATCCCGCAGACTTTGTTGTGGACAGCCATGATTGCAATTGCAAAAACAACACACAGACATAAACACAGCTTATAAATGTTCCACAACAGGCACAGTTAGCACTGGGAAACTGCTACTATTCACCCTTTTTTTTTTTGTTTTACCAACTTCAGTCACAAAACTCTTAAAGCATTTTCAGTTTCTTCTTCCTCTCAATCTGTTTTACTCTGAGAGATGTGATCATATCCAAATGCTAGAAATGTATTTTTAAGGCCTCATTATCACTTAATGTAAAGAAATTCTCTGTCAACTGTTAATTTACATAACTGAGTATCATCTTGAACAGATGGCATTGGAAAGAAAATTAAATTCTCACACTGGAATGTTTCACTTGTTCTTGGTCTCCATCACAAACCTACAATCTAACATACTACACGGGTTAGACATCACAACGTACTGAACATTTCAAATATCCCATACGGTTGCTGACACAGTTTGAAACATCAAATACAAACAGCTGTCACTCACCTCGTTTCACACACATTGCACAGAGCAAACAATAATAATAATCTACAGTTATTTCTCTAAGCATCTGTTGGTTGTACCTCTCTACCCAGCTTTGATCATTTGCAAGTTCAGTTTCAAAATCCCTCCTTATATTAATCATTAAAGGTTGTGGCAGCAGTAATTTGAGATAACATTCCCTAAAGACATAAACTCAAAGGTCTGCGATACGTGACGCTCAGCTGGTGGAGTGGTAGAAAAATTTTAAAGGCATTATGTGACACTTGTTTTAATGTTTTCTGTTTTTCTTTTTTGTGACTTGGGTGTGATTGCCATTTGTTTTAGCTGTCAGTACAATATGTGCATGTGTCTGTCTGACCTGAGAGCAACATCTTTGTTATATAGTCTACGCTGCAATTTCAATAAAGGAAGCCTACCAGCAGTACCACGTTTCAAAACTGCCAATACATTAGTGCAGGCGTTTCCAAAATCTGACAGTGAGTTATGACCCAGAGAAAGAGTTTGACTCAAATTCACTTCACGCAGTATCTTTGGCTCACGTCACTACCTCCAACCCTCCCACGCCACAAGGGGAGGCACACCTCACAGTTTGAAAACCTCTGCTTTAGTGTATTAACTACAGTGTAAATTGAAATGGACAATGTTACAGTAAGTGGAATGAATCGTGTAAAGCGTAGAAGCTGAACATCCACTTTAGCATAGACACAAATCTTGACCATTTTTCTACTCCAACTGTACTCAAATATGATTTTCTAAATCCCAAACAAATACCATCCCTCCCCGCACTCCCGCTCAGCTCACAGTTTTAAACCCACATTCTCAGTGGCTTCTATCAATCCAGTTCTTGAGGGATTTCAGAGGGAAGGGATGATGTTTGTTCAGGTTAGTGAACAGCAGTAAACCGGTGTCAATTCACACAAAGACACTAAACAGAGGGAACTCTGACTGGTCTGGCTGCAGGAGGTCGACGAGGAAACAAATAGTCCCCGACAGGCCTTCAAACAGGCTGCAGACACTGGTCACTGAGTGGGAGCCCATCTTAAACTCCTCAGTGAAGAGGAACTCTGCAAACCTTTGGGAAGGAAAGAAAAGAAGAGTGGTGAGACATGAATGGAAAGTGACATTTTAAGTTATGCTATGCTATATGATAGAGAAAAGGGAAACAGCAGGAGGGATTTCTTGCCTCTGAGCACGGTAAATGTATTTCGAGTTGCCTGTGAGCCGATAAAGCAGGAGGAAGACGTAAGCGCTTCCTGCAACTCCGTGACAAATCCCAGGTCCCTTCTTCAGCAGCCCTTTCTGCCACACGAGCTCCCCACTGCGGATACACGTGTCCAGATACTGGGGCTTCTTATTGATCAGGTAGGCTTTAGCAAATAGATACGCCACACCTGCAAGAGAGAATGGAGACGTGAATATAAACAGCAGAGGCAAGATGATGTAGGAACAAATGTGCACACTCATGGTGATGTGTGTACAATACTGAGTGTACCCGGGGCTCCGTGGCACCAGTGCACCAGTTCGTTCTCCCTCTCGATCATGGCGCCCAGCTCTGCAGGCCAGTTACAGTTCTGCTCCTGATTCATGAGGAAATCGACGCTCTGCCACACCAGGTCCTTCTCTGCCCCACTGAGCATGTCCTGGTAGCTCAGCAGCATCTGCAACACTGAGGAGAGGCCGTGGGCTGCACCTGACAGGAGAGGAAGTGTGAGGGGATCGCTCATGCCCAATCCCAGAACACGCCCATGCAAGGAGGCACCATGCCAGGCACAGAAACAGTCAAGCATCCAAGCACAAACATTCACAAAGGACTACTGGAGGACTTGTGTTTGTTTCTGTTTGCTTTTTATCTTCTTGTCTGTAGCCCACAATATATACTTGGCAGTTTAGTTTGACAGTAAAGGTTTTGTCTACTGGCAGAGAGGAAGTATTGTAATGTAAAAGGTTAGTAGCCTAAACCGGATGGTTTCAGAACAGTTGAGCTCCTTTCAAATATATAATCAACTGCACAATCACTGCCCCACTAAAGAACCCTTCAATAACAGAGACACTCTGTCAGGATATGTAGTTGACCCAAGGATATGTGCTGAAACAGGATCGTAAACTGTATATTAAAGGGCCAGTGTGTAACATTTAGGAGGATCTATTTGCAGAATTTCACAGTCACCGTAGTTGCTGCTAAATCCTACCCACTGGTCCTTTAAATTATTTAAATAAAACTAGAACTATTATTAGATGTAGTGTTTTAAGCTTTGCGGTATCAGATTAATAGTAGTAATAGTTCAAATTGCTTTAATGCAGTAATTTTAGCCCCAGACAAGAAAGTCAACATTGGACGATTCTGCAAAACCACGGATTACGTTCAAAGTGAATTTATGTTTGATGCCAAAGTTTTTAAAATGTTCACTCTACAATATCTGTTAATGGCGGATATAGAAAGTTACAGTTAGGTAAAGATCATGGTTGTGGCAAATAAGATAAAAACATTTGAAACATTTGAAAAATACACTCATCTGCTTTCTTGCTAAGAGTTAGACTCTCATATCTGTCTGTTTAATATAAAGCTACAACCAGCAGTCGGCTACCTAATCTTAGCATAAAGGGAGAAACAGCTCACTCGCTCTGTCTTAAGGCAAAAAATCCACCTTCCAACACTTATAAAGCTCACTTATGAAAACGCTGTATTTAGTTTGTTTAATGTAAACATGATTTATGTGCCAGGGAAGTCCAGGAAGTTGAAGGTCCCGATGAAGATAAAGTCCACAGCACATAACATCCTGTAAAACTGCAGTTTGTTGTTATTACACTATAGCTGTTGTACAGTTTAAACAAACAAGATAAAACATTTTAATTAATGAGCTTTAGAGGTGTTGGTTAGTGGATACTTTTGGACAGAGTCAGGTCAGCTGTTTCCCCCATTTCCACTCTTTGTTCTAAACCTCTCAGTAATACCACTTAGGGTTAATAAAAATACATGTATTCCCAAAAATGTAAAACATTTTCTTTAAGGTCAGGCAACTAAACCGTTGGTTAAGGTCCAGGAGAGACCACAGTAATGCTAAATAAAAACACAAACAAACAAATTCTCATGCATTAAAGTCAAATGTCCTATAAACTCATCCACCACTCTGACCTCCACACCTCTACAATGCATCCTGCACTGGCACTGAAAGCTGGCACTGAACACTGGACGTAAATCGTGAGGTGCAGAATCCTCAAATATGGACATAAGTTATTGGGACACTGGGCCGAGTCTTCCTAAATAATGCTGGACACATAAAGGGAAAGCTCAGAGAGAAACTGTGAGGTGGGACAGCCAGGGTCTCTAATTTCCCTTTTTGTGAGCAGCTTATTGATGTCGAGCAAATCAAATGTGAAATCCCTCCGTGAGCACATCTCTCAGGACAAGCAAACTGTAACACATGCAGCACCAGTAACCAGGTGTGTTCACTAAACATCCAGATATTTAATAGTTTAAACAGTTTTGCACTTATTTCACCTCCTCGTCATTCTCAAAGGTCTCGTCGTTTCCATGCAGAAGTGGCCAGCGAGGCTATGCTTACAATGAACTCTGTGCTGGTGTCAAAGTTACTGAGGATCTCCAACCTTCACGTCTGTCTCCATCCGATGCAATCAAGGAAAGGAAAGTAAGCTTCACACGTTAACACAGCAAGCCCTTCATCTAGAGCCGTCTCTAAAGCCTCCTTGTGTCTGTGTGTCTGTCACAGTATGATAACAGGAGAGCCTCCTGCACTCGGAGGACAGCAGCTCTTAAAGGGAGACTACCATCTTTACTTCTAAATGGTAATGCTCAAAGACGGAGGTCTTACCAAGATACTCTGTTCCGTAGTACGAGTACATGAGGGGGAAAGGCTTTCTCTTCCTCCTGGCGTACTGTCTTCCTGACTCGATGATGGCTTGACAAATGGATTTGATTTGATCTTTGCTCAGAATCTGTAGAATATAAGAGAAAGTTATTAGGCAAAGTTTATCATCACTGGAAATACAGATATAAGATATAAACAAACTAAGTAATTTATGGCCATGAAAATTATAGGTATATAAAAATATATCATTATCACTTTTGTTTGTTTCTCTACTCGTTATAATTGAATAATATTAGCCTGATTTCAGATTTTAAAACAGATCCATTGATACATCGTCGATTATCTTCTGATCTCGAGATAATGACACTTGTGATCTTGACTTACCAGCATCAAAACATTTCAAGGAGAGCTGTTCTCAGCTTCCATACATTTCATGAGGCATCTCCACACTGAAATGTCTTAATGTACAACAATACCAATAACCTACAGTAGCCTACATGTTTACAATATGACAACACTGATCGATATACTGAGTCAACCAAGTTATCAGTCTTAATCTGTTTGCTTTTTTAAATCAATGCATTCATATATTTTAACAAGTGTTTAAACATTAGGCCTTTTAACACCACAAAACCACATCCATTAGAGTTGCTATCTAAAGAGCAGCCAGTTCCTCTCTGGGTGTTAACAGGTTACAGACCTGTGTTCAGGAGCTCACCTCTATGCACAGCTTCTGCTTGAGGACCAGGGCGGCACACAGGTACCCAGCCCGCCCCACAAACAGCTCATCCGAGCCGCACTCCCGGAAATGGATGGGCGCACACACCTCCCACAGGTTGCGAAATTTGGTCAGCGGCTTAACGAAATCAGCCAAGCCCAGGGATTTATATATGAGAGCGGCCACCGCGTAGATGCCCGCCCCTCCGAGCAGGAAGGCGGCTCGCATGTTCTTGTCCGGCTCTGCGTCCACATATCGGACCGATACGTCGATTATCTGCTTGGCCGTCTTCAGGTAGGCGTCCCGGTGCTCGGAGAACCGCGGACACTCGCTGACGTGATACAGCATGTAAGCCACCCCGGCCGGGCCATCGTACAGCCCTCCGTCGCAGTCGTTGATGTCGATGGGAACCTTTTTCAGGACTTTGTCGACGGTGGAGACGATGATGGGCACGATGGCCTGCGCGCCCTGGTCCGGGAGCAGCGCGCCTTTGTAGTCGGAGAAGCGGTTGGCAAAGCAGCGGGTGTTTTCCATCACCGAGGAACAGAACCGGGACTTCCTGCAGGACCACGCTAATGCAGCAGATGTGTCTGCCTGCTCGGAGGTATCCAAGGATGCGAGAGGAAACTGCGCCTCATCCAATCCCGGCAGCCCGCAGCTGATTGGATGTCAGCGGTGATGGATCAGACTCATATTGGCTGAAGAGACCTGCAGCCTGTCTGCCCACACTGACCTGATCATTTAACTTTTAATGTCTGCCGATGAGGAGGAGAGGTGGAGGAATGTGCAGATACTCTTTTATTCTAATTAAAAATGTCACAGTATGAAATTGCTCTATACGAGTAAAAGTTCTGTATTAAAGATGTCTATTAAAGTAAAAGTACAAAAGTATTAGTTCTCTATTAGTTAGTTATACAGATGTCTGTCTGTTATTATTATATTACTGCAGGTAGCAATGTAAGGATTACCACCTGGGGAAATAGGACATCTGTTCATGGGTCCAGAAAGCCCTTCACAGGTTCAGTGTGTGTCAACAGGTTTGTGGTAACAATAATGTGTGGCTGATATGTTTTTTCACAAAACAAGCATCATTCCAGATTAATATCCTTAAAAAGACATCTACTCCTTCTACCTCTTTAAAAATACCAGAATCTATGGATATGCTAATTTAGTTTATTTCTAAAGTTTTCCTGCAGGGAAACATAACACCTACTTCACTGTAAAGTCCATTCTCAGTCCAAGTTTCTGTCACACGTATAGCTGCACATTGGACCAGGATTCACCTGCAGACTATTGAGACATCTCAAATAGTTTGATAGTTTAGTTAATAGTTTGAATAGTTGGTGTAATGCATCATGAAAGAGTTTGGGATCACCAGGCCTGATTGGCTCATTAAATGATTGTGATTACAAATCAGAAAAAGATACAATACTATAAACAAGAAGGTAAAAGTTAATATATTATCTGTAAAGAAATATTTACAAAAGTTTAAAAAGTAGCTGTCAGATTAAATTGTTACAATGTACCACCAGTGAAAAGTCAACATTAATTATCCATAGAGAGTATAGCACAGTAATGAATCTAGTGCACATATTCATAGAGTCAACAAGAGTCAATGTCAAACGTTAATATAGTGGCAGTAAGCTGATTACAGCAAAACTAATTCTTCTAAATCAACAAGGACAAAGCAGGAGGAATAAAAGGTCTACCTATTGGCCGTATGGTTCACACTTGGGTCTACAGATGATGTTTCAACCTACTGTCAGTGTGTTTGAGGTCGCTGTTAGTGTTACAGGTCTGACTAAACGTAGGATGTAACGCTGTCACTTAAACTGCTCTGCCTCTGTGGCTGCACTGGTTGCTACTAGCAACAGAAGGTCCAACTTGCACCAACTGCGGACTTTTTAAATATAATTAGTTTTTATAATTTATTAAGTCTTTTTTGCTCTTTACTTCTTGTTGAAACCCTCCCGTGGCACCACAGCAACGAGTGATTTCTCCAGGAAACAAAAATGTTAACTTATTCTTATTCTTTCAGCTGTCAGTTCAGTATCTTGGCCACCAGGTGGCGACAGACGCTCGCAGAGAGCCGGCAGCTGTCCATGGTGCTGAGGGTTACTATCGTTTACTGAGTTAGGATATAACGTTAGTAAGTAGCCTATATATTTCAGCGAGTTTTACTTTATTTAAATAAATCCTTTTTCTGCCACTTTACATTTCTACTTCACCACATTTTGAACTCCACTACATTTATCTGACAGCTGTAGTTACTATTGCAGATTGAGATAATACATAAAAAACAAACTGGTTTTTAAAATATAACACATTGTTAAAGATTTAAGATGCATGTGACCTCTTACAAAATAAAAGTGTCCTCTTTCCGTACTTCGGATCTACAATTTGTTACCAGTTTCAGCAAAAGGACATTTTTCCTCTAAACTTCTCTCATTAAACAACTGTTCAAAGCACAGAGGTCAAATTATCCAATGAGAAATTTCCCCCAAATTAATACAAATAATAAAAGGTATTCTTTTTTTTCTCCCTTTATCTGACAAATTCTCTGTTTTATTTTGCTACCCTTTGGAGGGGCCAGACCCCTAGTTGGGAAACAGCTGCGACAGCAAAATGCTGCACATGCATTGATCATAGTATTATATAGTATTAACAATCTAATAATGTCATATATGATCAAATATCAGTACTTTTACTTTAGCTGATAATACTTCTGCAACTGTCCACTGGGCCTTTCATTAGTGGTGACCAAGTTATTATTTTTTTTAACTGGTTCCCAAATTTAAATCTTATTTAAGGCTTTAAGGCTTTTTATTTATTTGTTTTTATCCTGTAATAGTTTTTCATTGTCTTTGTTTCAGTGATTTATTTAAATGTTTTTTTTTTTGTAACTTAAATAATATTAAATGTTTGCTTACTTGCTGTTTGCAGTGAGGACTAAACACAGTGTAGGGTATTAAACAATATTTCTACACAGGAAAACTACCTCAGCGCAATTTTAAGGTCTAATTTACTTGATTTTTGTTCTGTAAGACTTTCTAAAACACATCTCATAGAATATAACATGGTGCACTGATCAATCTTAAACCACAAAACACCTGAAATATTCAGATTTATCACAGGTATCAGCCGTGTTCATTACAGCTTTATCACTCTTGGTGCCATTTCCAAGATAATTCAAGTGGTTATCTGAGTCCAGACTGTGTGAGAGGAGCTTTGAATCACATTTTAATTAGAAATGTTTTTGCCCCATTTTTAAAGAAAGAGATAAAACGAAGATAAATGCCACAGAGATATGAATGTGGAAGCAAAGGGCATCATATGAATGCTGAACTAATTCGAATTTTCTTCAGAAAGTAAAATGAAGCAAAATAAATGCAAATTGAAGGAAGACTTTTCTGTGTGTTTATTCTGAAATAGAAAAGACACAAAGGCTGAGCGTAATGGAGAGCGGGATGGTGAGGAGGTCACATCAAGGGAGAAGACAAGTGGATGCAGTTGCACTCAGAGCTCTGAAAAACATCATTTGGTTCAGTGTGGTCCATGATAGTTATTACTTGAAATAGCTGGCAGTGGAATCGGTGTTACTTTTTGTGTTGTGTTTTTCTGTTTGTGAATTCAGAGAAAAGTGGTTCGAGTCCGAGCAGCCGTTTTACTTTGATGGCCGTTTCTCTCTCAGTCTCGTACAAATAGCAGGGAACAAATTATACGTTTGAGAATTACCAAAACTCTGCAGCCATTTTGTTCTTTGAAAACAAATTAGGCTAAAGTTCTCAAATGTGGGTCTGGAAAATTAAAATGGTTCAAGTCACGCTCAAAGGAAGATATTTCCATCGGTCTTATCTGCTGCCTTGATACAACGAAACTCAATTTGCATTTTTATTAGAAAATGATTTTTGTCCAATTGGCGCCATCTGATGAACCAGTGAATAATGCTGCTATATGTCTCCAGGATGAGACGTGGACTAAAAGCATTTTGGACATTAAAAAACATAAAGGTCTTACCTTCACCTCCCTACCTCATCTTCACTTAGTGATCCTTTATGATCAGATGTTACTGTGTATGTTAGCTGGCTCCGAGCTTTGAGTGGATGGACACTGTTACTGAGTGCATTTCATTGCTGTTATACAGGAAGTAGAGACATTTATTTATGATGAGGTTCCTGCAGCTGAACTGAGAACCTGAGTGTCAGGGTCAGTGTCATTTCACAAGATCTCAGCTGAAATATGACCACATTCAAACTCAGTACAACTTGCATCCAAAACTGAGCAGAAGCCAAAACCAGTGGCGGACTGAGGCTGTCTGAGGGGCCGGGGCAATAAAAAGGGCACCAGCTGCATGTGGAGGGGCATCAGTGGGGTTTATCATGTTTTATCAACCAGAGACAACTTGTTACTCCAGCACTCCTCACCTCATTCCCTGTTCCTACAGTTATGTATCAGTGTGTAGACCACTGTGCTGGTACACGTGGTAACATTGTGTGCATGTCTAACAATAAACTCTGAATTACATTAAATGCACTGAGGAGAGTTTAAAAGTTTCCCTCTGAACGAGGAACAACATTTTACCAACCTTAAAGCTACTTTATAGGAGGGCATTAAAGTGGGAATATATTCCCTGTGGACATTTCCACACCCTCATCTTGACAGCCTGTAATCTGCAGCGCGTGAAATGACGCGCGCAACAGCACGAGAGCATAAATGCAGGCGCCGGGAGAGCTCAGACTCTCGTGCAGGATCTGTCCTCTCGCTGCAGGCTGCCATGTCTCTGGAGGATGCATTTGTCTTGAACTCGGAGGACAGCGGGGCTTTGAATGTTTCCAGAGGGTTTTGGGACTCGGGAGAGCAGCACCAGTACTTCATCTGGCTCCCGGGTATCGGGATCGCTGCTGTCTACGGGATCATCATCGCCGTGGGTCTAGTGGGGAATGTCACTTTGATGAAGACGTGTCTCTCTGTGAAGTCCATGCGCACGGTGCCCAACCTGTTCCTGTCCAGTCTGGCTCTGGGGGACTTGCTGCTCCTGGTGACCTGCGCCCCGGTGGACGCCAGCCGCTACCTGGTGGACGAGTGGCTCTTCGGCCGCGTCGGATGCAAACTGATCCCGTTTATCCAGCTCACCTCGGTGGGGGTCTCCGTGTTCACCCTCACGGCGCTCTCCGCTGACCGGTATACCTGTCACACAGTTAGTCGGTGCATGCTTTTGAAAGTGTGTTTAACTTCTTCTCATCGTTTAGGCAGAATAAACCTGCAGAGAGTGGGACGACAGTTTCAATACTCCACTGATGCGACATTACAGTGGGTGAGGAGGGGTTTTACGCACGGCTGCAGTTTAAAAATGGACATTATTAGGAGTCTTTCATCATTTATCAACAAACAGGCACCAAGAACAAACGATTAATCAAGTTGGCTGTTTCATTATATTTAGAATTATAACGAAATTCAAGTGACTTAACCCTGTAATTAATATGCCAGATTATCGAAGTTCTTTCAAGGAAGGAGAAAATGATTAATTACAGGCTTGTAAAATAAAGCTTTATTCTTTTATTCTTCAGCATGAGGTCTGAATGCTTTTTGTTTGTTTGTATGTTTATTTGTGAAAACGTAGTTATACTCACTGAATATTTAAAATGAACTAAAAATAGTTGAATCAGCCTAAAAAAAATACAACAAACAAACATGGTCTTATTATATCCCCAGTGGTAGACAAGAGTCCAGCATTCATCCAGAGCAACATCCCCACCCATCTGTTTTATTTTTTAAATTGTGAGAATTATTGTTGAGTTGCAAAAACTATTGTGATCAGTATGATACTGTTCAAATACATCAACTGTAGGTTCAAGTGCAATAAAGTGTGATGTTATGTGATTTGAGTTGCTGTGAGTTAGACTGATATAATACAGTGTTGAGGGTTGCAGGATGATTAACTGTAGTACAACATCAAATGATGATTTTACCTCTGAATGAATCATATAACACAGGGACATAAACCAGGACTCCAGTCATTATACGGCTCCTGAAGCTGATCTGTGATGAAAAATATTAGGTCTATTACAGGTAAAGGAGGGTGCAGATCCAGATTTTTGGCAAGAAAAGTCATCTGAAAATGTGTTGGTAGCTCTTCCAACAGCTACAGTATTTTC